ATTTAATTTAAATTTGCGCTATATAGATATAGAAACTATATAATATATTTTTAGTCCAGTTGAAAATATCAGAAGTTAATTAATCAGCATACTTTAAACAATAAATTGTTTATTTCAACAAAGGAAATTCTTAAAATTAGCTTAAAGAGATAAATAAAAATAAATGTTATTTATAGCATTTTGCATATATTTTTAAATTGATGTTATAATACTTTTATTATGCTCTCTATTAATTAAATGATTTGATATTTCATAAATACACAGTCTTTTATTATTCTCTAATAGATAATCAAAATTATTATATTCTAATATTCATATTTCTTCTCTATTCTGTGAATATTTTACATTTAGAAAATAATAATTATAAAGGAAATAATTTATATTATTACAATATATGGATGTGACATTACGATTTTTTATAAGAATGGAATTATTCATAATATGAAAATTAAACTATTGTTCTAATTAATAGATTATATATAAGTGAATTGTTTATAAAAATTCTTAATAATTCATCATTTTTTTAATTTTTTCTACGCTTTGTATAAGTATAAGTATAATGTAATTTCTGTTATAAAAATAATTAATTACTCTAACCAATTTTATGTTGATAATGTTTAATTTCCTTTTGAGATGAGTCTTTGATAAGTTAGTTTTAATTGATTTACTGAATTCTCTATAAATATATTTATTTATGAATCATCACATGCATACAAACAAGGTATATAATATTGGTGAAGGTAGAATAATTTGACCTCAAAATTAGGGTTGTGTCTAAAGGCAGTAAAATAGGTATCATTATATTATTCAATCCGATAATCTTATAATTCAAATTGTTGATGACTGTCTATAATCAGTTTATTCTATTAATCAATATAATAAATTTAGTTAATCTTTTTTTTGTCTACTTCAAAACTCAAAATAATATATTTCGAATTTGCAAATTCAATATCCTTTAAACGCAAGTAACTTTCATATCTTAAATTTTTAAAAACTTATGACTCCAAAAGATTAATTTGAAAATCAAATTAGAATATTAAATAAAAACAATGAAAGTTTTTTGTGCATACTAATAAATCATATTTGAAATTATTAATTTCCTAAACAAATTCTAAATCCGAGAATCTTGATATATTCATCTATTGAATCTATAGATATAATTTTATTAAGCGATATATTTGTTTATGTTATGATATGAAACTGATTGGACAAGAAGAATAAAATTAAAAATGTCCTCATTCGAAATCGATCTAGTTGCAATAAAGTAAAATTTAGGAATACTGCGAATTGAGATAAAATGAAATTCGTGTAACCCATTTATCTGAAACATTTAGATCTATTAATTTTAAATAAAAAATAACCATTTCGTTAATTTTTCATCTGTATTATCAAATAAGATGAAATTTCCTACTGCTTAAATAGAATTCAGATTAATCATATCCCAATATATTTGTGGTTGAATTTTAAATTAATCGATTAATTTTCCTTATAGATTATAATTATATAATTTCAAAACCTTATGTTCATCTATTGTATATAAAAAGATATTAAATTGAGTTTTAAATAGTGTAAATGAGCTAATAATTTCTTAGCGATTATGCTGTAAAATGATTGGTTGATCAAGAGAATCTAAAATGATTTTGTTATTATCTATAATACAGGCCTTCTATTTGAACAATTCGCATCCTTAATACTCTTAAAGTGTAAAAGATGACAAAGTAGAGTATGTGTCTCCATTAATATACGTAAAAGAAGTTATTTTTCCAAATACTTAATTTAATGGCAGTATTTTTTTTGAATTATCAATGAGGTAGTTAGGTTAATAATCTGTAAATAGTTATGACCTTTAATTGTGATTGAGGAGGTTAAATTTGAAAGTAATTGAGTTATTATTAACTGCATACTTAGGATCAAATTTGAGTATAATGTTTGCAGTAAAATAATAAGAATTCAAATTTGATATAAATAGATTGGATTTGACTTTTATTTTGATTGAGTCTAAAAGATACATTTTGAGTTCATTTTTATATACATAGATAAATTGTTATGATGAGAGAGATTGAGAAATTCTGCAATATTCATCGATCTAGATAGCTG